TGCTCCGTCTCCGCACTCTCCTGCTGGGTGCCGTCGTATTTCTCTTCTTCGCTGATTTCCTCAAAAGGCGGCGCGCAAAGAACTACCCTCCTGGGCCCCCGCGCCTGCCCTTCGTGGGACACCTCTTTCATCTGGACTTACAGAAGGGGCACCTGTCGGTTCAGCGGGTAGGAGCGGGCGAAGGTGCCTGGGCGCGTCCTGACCCTGACCTGCAGGGCCAGTGCGGGTACCGAGGGCGGGAAGATTGGGGCAGGGGGGACCCTGACGCTGAAAAAGGTACCCGGGTACTTGGGGCTTTAAAGCCTTGTTTTCCTCACCGCCACCTGGCATGATTCCACCTGCCCTTTCTAGGGGTGAAATATTCAAAATTGTTTACTATTTAAGTGTGCCAGACACGATATGTTCTTTAAGTCATGTTGTTGCCTGTCATGTTACATATTATTGCAACACACTACTTATAGTATGATCACCTTGTTTTTTTTAATACTGTTATCTTTGGAGCAAAAGATGCTGTACTTCCCCTCTTTGAGGCTCCATTTCCCATGTGTATAATGGTGATATTGCTACCTAAATCCTCACTACTTTTAAGTGAATTGCTCCTGTCCCCACAAGGATTGAGCCCCTCACCTTCAGCCTCCTAGCCCTGCAATCCACTGTCACTAAAGTAGTCATTTAAAATGTCATTCCTCTGCTTAGATTTTCCCTACATCCCAGCTGCACCTCAATTTCAGACTCCCTAGGGAGCCACTTGGAACCCTTCTTGTAGCCTCTGTCCACTTCTTTGTAATCATCTCCCATCAGGGCTTCGAAACTGTGGCCGCTCTGAGTTCCTTAAAATTCTCTCCAACATCCAGCACTTTCCCAAGAATCTTCAGCTGCTTCCCTGCCTCTCAGCTCTGGTAACTTACTGAGAGACAACACTGTGATAGGTAGTTGTGAACATTAAATAAAACAGTGAATGTTCAATATTAATGCAGGTAATAGTAGGTGCCCAGCAAATATTATTTCCCCTTTTCCTAGAAATTACCTGGAGCACTTTAAACACAAGCCTGTGATGTACACTCAAGTTCAGATGGAGAAGGGTTTATCACTTTCTGGGAGAAATACCCAATTGGCATCAGGAAGTGACAGGATTAGTCACTGAGTTATAAAGCTATGGTTCTAAACCTGTCCCCTTGTTTAAGAAATGTGCTGTTTAATTTCCGAGTATTGAGACATTTTCCTGTTTTCTTTCTGTTAATAACATCTAGTTTGAATTATTGTCAAAGGACATATTTTGTGTGATATCAATTTTTTAAAATATGTTAAAGTTGTTTTTATGACCCAAGATACATCACCATGCATGCTTGAAAAAAATGTGTATTCTGCTTTTGTCAGGTGGAGTGTTCTAGACCATATGTCACTTAGATATAATTAGATGACTGTGTTCTTTAGTTCTTCTGTACCCTTGTTGATTTCTTACCTACTGATTCTCTCAGTGGGTAGGAGAGGCATGTTGAAGTCTCCAAAAATAATTACAGGCTTGTCAGGTCTCAATCAGTTCTGGTAGCTTTCATTTATGTATTTGGCAGCTCTTTCAAATGGTGCATACACATGAAAATTGTTATGTCATCTTGATGAACTGGCTCTTTAATTATTTAATAATTATTTAATTCTTATAATGTCCCTCTTTATCTCTGGTAATTTTCTTTGCCTGAACTTTTCTTTGTCTGATGTTATGTAGCCACAGCACATCTGTTTTGATTAGGATTTGTATATGCATCTCCATTCTTTCACTTTTAACCTACTTATATGGTTATATTTGAAATGAGTTTCTTGTTGATAACACCTAGGTGGTTTTTTTTTTAAATTATACCAATCTCTGTCTTTTAACTGGTTAATTTAGGTCCTTTATAGCTAATGTAATCATTTTTGTTAGCACATGTCTGCCACTTTACTTTTTATTTTCTATTTTTAAAATTTTAATTTTATTCCTCTTTTTGCTGTCTTTCTGTGAGTCAACAGTTTTAAAGAATTCTATTTTATCTATATTGTTTTTGAGTATATCTCTTTGTACTGTAATTTAACTGCTTGCTATAAAGATTATAATGCTATGCATACATAGCTTATTGAAAAAAGAATCAACATATTACCACTTCAGGTGGAATTTAGACACCTTAAAACTTTAGGTCACTTTACCTTCCCCACTTTATAATACATAAACTATCTTAAATATTCTCTCTACATACATTAAGAACCACATCAGACAGTATTATTAATTTTGCTTTTAACTGTGAAATACAATTTTTAAAATTCAAGATGAGAAGAACAGTCTACTGTATTTACCCATTTACTTACCCTTTCTGTTGCTTTTTCTTCCCTAACTGCAGAACTTTCTTTAGCCCCCTTTAGAACTGTTCTGCTGGTAAAAATTCTCTTAGCTTTCCTTCATCTAAGTATGTATTTCTTTCACCTTCATTTCTGAATTACTTTATCACCAGATACAGAATTCTAGATTGACAGTTTCTTTTACTCTTGAAAATACTGTGCTACTATTTTCTGGCCTCCCTAGTTTCTGATGAGAAATCTGCTGTAATTTGAATCGTTGTTCTTTGTAAGTAATGAGTTGGTTTCCTCTGCACGCTTTCAAGGAAGTTTCCATTGTTTTTAGTTTTCAGAGGTTTGATTATGATACCTCTTGGTGTTGAATTATTGGGGATTATTGTGTTCACTCACAGCTTCTTGGGTCTGAAGGTTTTTCTGATAACAAATTTGAAAATTTCTCAGCTATTATTTCTTCAAATACTTTTTCAAGTTCACATTTTTTTTTCCTTTTCTTTTTGGTACTCTTGGGCACTGATTGTACAAGTGATAGATCTTTTGTCATTCTAACATCAGTCCCTGAAGCTCAGTGTTTGTTCTTTTTTCAGTCTATTTTCTCTGTTATTCAAATTGGATACTTTCTATTGTGTTCAATTTCACTGATGCTTCTGTCCTTACTACTCTGCATCAAGTTGCTCTATTGTAGTTTTTGTTTAGGTTATTTTATTTTTCATTTCCAAAATGTCTGTTTGGTTCTTATGTATATTTTCCATTTCTTTGTTAAGATTTCCTTTTAAAAAAATTTGAGCGTGTAATTGCTTATTGAAACATATTTATAATAGCTGCTTTAAAGTATTTATCCTATAATTCCAACATCTCTATCATCTCAGTATTGGTTTCAACTTATCCAAGTTGAGATTCCCTTGGTTCTTGGTAACATGAGTATTTTAAACTATACGCTGGACATTTGGTGTATTTTGTAGGATGACTCTGGACTCTATATAAATCTTTAATTTTAACAAGTAAACAACCTGTTTTTGTTCAGAATGCTCACTCTTGTGGATTGTGGTTCAACTGTCAGTTTAGGTTCTAAGCCTCTGCAGTGCTATTCTGGTATACCCCACTTTGTGATGCCCACCCCCTCAGGATTCCAACCCACGTTATCATCAGTGCAGGCTGGAGAGAATGAGGGTGGGGTGAAAGACTGGAGCTTTTCTGAGTAGGAAAGCCTATTCCTTACTTGAGAGGGGGACTGAAGTCAGAGATCTCCCCATATCTGCTCCGTGGGGAAAGGTACCTCCTTATTTCTGTAGAGTGGTAGGAATCAGAATTTTGTCCTGTGAGTCCTCCAAGGAGTCTCCTTGCTGCAGTTCGGAGGTGACAGTCACAATTCAGCTTACAGACTTAACAGTGGAGTTATCACCTTGTTGTTGTGGGGTCAGGCGAAGACAAGATTCTACCTATATTCTCCACTGCTGTAGCCCCCTGACTCAGGCGGGGAGAGTCTCATCCTGTTCAGTAACAGGAAGGTAGAAAGGTTGCAAGGTTTAGTCCTGGTGTGCCACCCTTTTCCTGGACCTTTGCTACAAAAAAAACAGGATTTTATTAGAATTATTTTTGGTCTGTGCCAATCAGTGATGAGTAGCAGGAGTAAAATGGGAGGCTTTTACTCACTCTTGTCTGGAATCAGAAACTTGATTTGTAGCCTTGTTTTACCACTAAGATAGATGTGACTAGAGGGGATAAATTATCTGCCTTAAGTCATAAAACTGGCCAGGCATGAAACTGAGGCTAGGGTCTTATTTCTGGCCCAAAGATTTTTCACCAGAACTGTCACATTTTATTTTATATAGGTTTAAATTTTTAATATTTTTGGCTTTAAAGGAAAATAGAGTTAAACAAATAGAGTTAAATGGTGTGACTTAGTTTTAATTACAATTACATTCTAACAGTTTGGAACATTATGTATGAACACTCTGCTGGGTCTTGTATAAGGATTTACATGTTATTTTCATTAAATCTTCACAAAAGACACACAAGGTAGGAACCTTCTGGTGCTGTTTCCATTTTACCACTGAGGAAACTGACCGAAAATACCTTATTTGCCTAAGGTATTCAAAATCGATAATGGCCAAACAAGGACTTGAACCCAGGACTCTTTGACTGCTACACCTAGTCTCCACTTACGCTACCTGATTTTCCATGATATGGTTAGAGGATAATTGTTTTATTTGGGGGTTCATTTATTCAAACAGACTATGAACTTCTCACCATATGACAGGCACAGTACAAGACAGTTTATGATGAAATGTGTGGTGTAAACTTTTTGTAACTAAATGAGATGACATTAGATGGGACCACTGAATGGGAAGACCTGGGGATAACCTCAATGGAATGTGGTAATAAATTTGGGTGAACTTGAAAGGAATGTTAGTCAAGGAGTAAAAGGGACAGGAGATTTTTAAATGGGGGAAAGTGACATGAGCTAAAACACAGCGAGAAGGCAGGGAAGGAATGGGCTTTCTAACAAGACAGGACTTACTGTGCTAGTGATAAACAACATTGGTGGAAACTCTGGGCCAAAACGACAATGAAAGGGTTGAATTCAGGTATGATCTATAATATGGGAGCAGGGTAGTGGAATGAGACTAAATCCATGGTATTTTCTCTGATGGGGTGGTGGGCTCCAAGGTGCTTGGGGTGACTTGAGGGAGCATAAGTGGACGGCAGTTAGGGAGGAGGAGCCACGGACACCTGGAGGACATGGGGCCTTCTGTTTGATAGCATGGCTGCAGCTGGACACAGCCCTACACGCAGGGAGCAGGGACAGGGTCTATGTAGAATTGTCTTTTGAGGAAGCAGGTCAGGTAAGCCTTTGACTGTTGACTGTTGACTGCCATCCAAGCCGTACTAGCACATACCTGCTCACCTGTGTACACTCGTGCCACACCTGCACACTCTGCCATTCCCTCCCTCTCTTCCTCTCCCTGCCCCCCTCACCGTCATTCTCACTTTCAGACTCTCATCCCACTAAACTCTAAGGTCCTCGCACCATCTCAGGTTCATGTGTTTATCCTTATAACGTATATAATGCCTGCCAAATTCCTTCCAGTATCCAATAGCTTTCTCACCTTGGCTAAGTTACTTTGACTGTAGCTCATTTTCCTTTTCTGAAAGACAATGAACTACTGTAGGGTGGTTGTGAAGTTAAATGAGATAAAAGGTGAAGGTGCTTAATGTGGCACCCAGTGGATGTGGTTGTCTGTGACATGCGTGCCTTTCTCCAGGACATCATCCCTGTGCTCTCGTCCTTCCTGTCACCATGGGCATGTCCATGCACATCCCTTTGCACACAGAGCCCATTCATTCCTTACAGTCTGCAGTGGCTGTCTGGTACCAGAAAACAAAGCATTCTTCACATTGCTGCACTCGTTCTTCCTCACAGAACCCTTTGAAGGAGAAATAACTTTCCCCTTTATAACTGAGGAGCTGAGACTCAAGAAAATGAAACAATATTCCTAAAAGCTCACAGCTCGTCAACAACAGAGTTGAGATTTACACATGGCTCCAAAACCAGGGTGTGCTCTTCTCCACACCTGACCCCAGCCCTATAATGAATTTTCTATTATCTGGAATGTGTTGTTGGAGGGGACATTCTCTTCTAATTAAACAGATATGATTTGCTAAAAAGTCCATGCTTGCTATAACAGACATTCACTAAAATATCTCAGCCTCCTCTGGTGAGTCACATGTGCTGAATTCTCTCCCTTCACTAGACTCTAAGATGCTTGAGGGTAGAGACATTGTTTATTTTATTATAGTTGTATCTTTATGCCTGGCTCTTAGGACACATGGTACGTGCTCACTCAGTTCAAGTAGGTTCAACATATGAAAGAATGATTATAAGGAAAGTTTATGTGCTGTAGTGAATTGAACCCAAACCTAGTTGAGAGGAAGATAAATGGAAACAGATAGAAACATTCCCATCAGATCAAGGTGCGCACACACCCACACATGCACACACAACCTCCCCTCAGTACAAGCTACACACACACCCTTCATTCCTGAACACACAGCCGTGTGCATATTCAATTGTGACTGTTTTACTATTTTCCAGTTTGTGAAGAAATACGGGGAACTTTTTCGCCTGGACTTCGGTGACTTGGTTTCAGTTGTTATAACTGGATTGCCCTTAATCAAAGAAGCCCTTGTCCACCAGGGCCAAAACTTTGTGAACCGCCCCATAACCCCTCTTCGAGAACATGGCTTTAAGGAAAATGGTAAGTGTCTGGACTCTTGTAAGATACCTTGTTGGACACTCCTGTGCTCTGTGACAGGTGCCTCTGTGACTTAATGCTCCAACACTCCCGGGGTCCAGGCCCGTCGTAAAGTTCCAGCTCCTGAAGGAAGCTGAGTGCCTGCATTTCCCTGCTGAAGGCACGTCCTCAGGGACCCCGGCAGGGTCAGCCTCAAAGTCACGGATTTGGGAGAAGCTGTGTCACCCGCATAAACTCTGAGTGCTCTGATCCATCAGTGTCCTCCTCACTCAATGAAGTATTTTGTAAACAGAGGAAGAGGCAACGTATTCTCAGTCCCACTTTCCACTTCCCCACGGAAATCTTTTCCCCTAGAAAACGGATGTGGATCTGTGTCCTTCGGCTGAGTATGTGATCCCTCCGCGCCTCTAGTTCCTTATGCTTTAGTATTAAGACTGTGCTCCACAAGGTATCTCCAGCCTTCCGGTCTATGTTAGAATAGTTGCAATGAACACATAAAATGATAATTAAATAAACTTACACATTTAAAAATCTAAACAAAAATTCAAATATATTCTACAAAAGCACCATTTTTCCAGGTGGTTCTCAATTCCTCTTTTAACTATTCTACCCATTACCTCTACATCCCTCACGTGATTTGTTATCTGCCATGTGAAGCCTGGTGCCAGGCATGAGTGATGTAACAGTGAGTAGAAGAGACAAAATCCTTGTCTTTATGTAACTTACTTCTATTCAGAAAAACAGTATCAATTACTCTAATATTTAATTCTTAGTGTTATAAAGATAAGGGCAAGGTTCACTTTTCAGAGGTATCTAATCTAATTCTGATAATCAGAAAAAGAACTAAGGTAAGTAAATGACAATTTAATACAGCGAGGAAGCAGCCAGGCAGAGGGAACAGAATATGAAAACCCTCTGAGGAGGGCAGGAGGACAGTGAACTTGGGGAACTGAAAGGGGACCAGTGTGGCAGCACAGGGATTCAGTGGAGATGAAGCTGCTGCGTCTGGCAAGGATCCTTCATGCACAGTCTTGGTAAGGATGTTGTTTTAATCCAAACAACAATGGAAATTCTTGAATGGTTTAAGTAGAGGAAGGAATCATATTCACATTGTGCATTTTAAAGATTATCTAGGCTGCAATGTCAAGGATTCAATAAAGGGATAAAGAGACTATAGTAGCATTTTTGGTTAGAGAAGGTGGTAGCTTGCAATAGGGAGGTGGCAAGAATTGAAAGTACAGTAGATTAGACCAGGAGAGCAGCTGTGAAGAGGCATGGATTCAAGATATTCGGGAGGTAAGTCCAGTAAGACATGATGACCTAAATGGAGGGAGAATGAGGTATTGAGATGGACACCCAAGTGGGCAGATAAAGGGAAGAAGGAACACTTGGGGAGGACAAGGTGTGGGCTGGCCTTGGGGTGGGGGGTGGGAGTGGTGTGGAGCAAATCAGGAATTCAGTCATGGATACGCTGAGTTTGAAATCCTTTAAGTCAGCAGAGTGAAGCAGACACTTGTATGCAAGCCTGGAGCTGAGAGACAGAAATAGATGCTCAATATCAGTACATGCCATTTAAATTTTAGGAATTGGTGAGATTCCTAGAAATGGAGGATAGGATAGGAAGAGAAGAATCTTGAAAAACATGAATCCTGAAGAACTGTGTCATTTCAAAATTTGAAACAAGTAGATGAATTAACAAAAATATGGTAAGTTCTCTGTGGTCAGAGAATTAGGAGGAAAATCTGGAGAGTGAGGTGTCCTGAGCACCACTGGATGTAAGTGTTTCAAGAAAAGTTCTCAGGCTGCTGATGTATCAGGGTAAGTTTGAAAAGCATCCCGGATCTGACAGCAGGCAGAGCCATTTCATTGAGAGGGCGAAGGCCAAAGCCAGGTATTAAAAGAGGCTGAAGAGTGCTCTGGATGTGAAGACTGAAAGGAATGTGGCTGGATCCATGTTGGTCTCTTGCACACTCCGAGGTGCTAATTTTTTCCTTTGCCTGTGTTGTTCTTTGGGATAGACTGTTCACACTTCCTTGTTTTCTTGAGTGATTCATTTACCTTTAGGTCCAACTTGGCGAGGACCTCTCCTTTCCTCCTTATGAGTATGGATTGTGTCTAATCCGTAAGTGCATTCTTAGTATGTAGAATAAAAATTACTTAAATATACTTAGGTGACAAGTAATCAAAGCATGGACTCTGGAATATGGGAGATTTGAATTTGAAAGCCTGTTCAGCTGCTTACTAACTCTGTGATCTTGCAGAGTTTAATTTTATCTCAGTTTTCTTATCAACAAAATTGGAGGTCGGCATTGGCAGTCATGAGAGAATCTGCTCAGAGAGGTTCTGTGAGTACTAAATTACATACTGCATTAAAAATACAAATATGTCCGGCATTGCAAGTAATCAGTAAATGCTAACCATCATATTCACTGCTTTGGGATCATTTCTCTGAATAGTTTTCAAGTGCCTTAATGCCCTTCTCCTTCCTTCCATCTACACACATCCCCATGGCATTTGTTGGGTCTCTTTTCATAATGTTGGCTCTCTTCTTCCCAGGATTGATCATGTCCAATGGCCAAGTATGGAAGGAACAAAGGAGGTTCGCCCTGATGGCACTGAGGAACTTTGGTTTAGGAAAGAAGAGCTTAGAGGAACGCATTCAGGAAGAGGCCCGCTACCTCACCCAGGCAATAGGAGAGGAGGACGGTGAGTGTGTCATAGGACAGGTGCAGGAGACTGCGGCTTATTCCTTCACTGACCAGATGCTTAATAAGTGCCCACGTGCCTGCCCTGTGCCCAGCACTGTGTAGGGCACCGAGGGAAGCTGGAGAATTGGACACAAGAAGATGGGTACAGAACACCGTACTGACTTACTGATTTTAAATCCTGGTTGTCAGTTTGACTTCCAGGCACTGACTGAATACTTGCTGTAGGTCAGACCCTGTGGAGGGTGCTGGGGCCACAGTCTCAGAGGTGGTTCTGTACTCAGTGTGTCCTGTGTCATGTAGGATACACCCTCAGAGGAAATGGAAAAAATAAATCCTTCTCTCCCTCCAGGACAGCCTTTCAATCCTCACTTCAAAATCAACAATGCAGTTTCCAATATTATTTGCTCCATCACATTTGGGGAGCGCTTTGACTACAAGGATGATCAGTTCCAGGAGCTGCTGAGGCTGTTGGATGAGGCCACGTATCTGGAGACGTCAATGTGGTGCCAGGTGAGACATTCTCACTTCCTACCTCGGATATGGATAGTAGGCTGATGTCAGACACAGAGGGGTTCTTCCTTTAAAAGAAAAAAAAAGAATACATAACCTTTTAAATTTCCCTTTAACATAAAACTTATTTGAAGTCATTCTATTGAATTTAGTGTTTTGAATATTGTTACATATATACTATAGACAAATAATGTGATTAACATTCGTGTAAAGTTCAAAACTTCACATGAATGCACCTGTGCACATATGTTGTTTTCTTCAAAAAGCACAATATCACCATCACCTTCGAGTCCCTGCTCTCCATGTCCCTCCCTAACCACCGCATCGATCCTCCCTCAGAAGTTCTCTCTTGTGCCTGACTCTCCCTGGAGATTCATGTGTTAGTTGTTTTGTTTTAAAATTCTGTTTACTTTTCCATCGTATGAATATGACACTGTTTGTTATTCTTTTCTCTACTGATGGACACTTGGGTGATTTCCACTGTGGGGACGTTGTGAGCAAAGCTGCAGTGAGCATCCTTGTTCAGTTGTTCATGTGGTCACAGCCTCCTGTTTCTCTTGCATATACACTTGGACGGAAAACGTACTCAAGTTTCCCACATGGCCCACATGCTTACATGCCCATCTACACTTGATATGGTCAATCTTCTAATTCTGTCAGGTATAGCTGCAGGGGGTTAAAACCTCACCACTTCCTTGGTGGGCCCTTCCCTCCCATCTGTCTCCTTTCTGGATTTGAAAGACACTTCTAGGGGAAATCAGCCACAAGTGTTGAGGTCACCTCTCTGGTGTCTAGAAGAAGGTGTACTTTTATTTGTTCCTGACAAACATCTTTGCCTGGAGCTTTCTGGACCCCACACACCAAAACTGATAAAGTAGTCTGCCTGATTCTTGGCACATTGAAGGGGCCTAAAGAACGTGAGCTGTTATGATTATTGTCAACGTTATTTTTGAATAATATTCCCTGTTCTAACTACTAATTAGGGTAATCCCCTATTCAGTAATTCCATTTTCTTCCCTCCTATTAAGATAGAACCTAGGATGTCATAAGAGTTTGGTGGGTACCCAGCAGTCTGTTCCCAGGAAAGAGAAATTCCTGGGACACTAGGTGGGGATAGAAGCATTTCTTAGAGACGCAAAAGATGCCAGGCACTTTGATGGACAACCACACACACTTTACCTCAGTTGATTGTTTACAACAGTTCTTTAAAGATGAGATGAAGCATCCTGATGTGTGCAAGCAGACATGGGAATGCGTAAGGAAATCCACATAGTGTCCACTGGCTCTGTGTTAAGTGCGGGGTGGATCTCATGTCATTTGGTCTTGGAAAAAACCCTCGGGCAGCTAGTTTAAGTAGGGACAAATCACATTATTACTATTTTTATTAGTACTATTATCATCAACGTATTATAGCTAGAAAGCAACAGAGCAAATCCATGCCTGTTTCATCTAAATCTAGGCAATTTTCCATTATGTTATGCTATCTACTTTCTAGCAAATATTATTAGGGAAATATATTCAAAACCACTTTATTTCAGTATTAAATGTCTTACCCACATGGAGTTTACATCATAGTTGAGGCAGACATATGTAGGTGTAACATAGATACATAGGCAGACAGACATATTTTATACACACACAAATACACACACACACACACACACACACACACACACACACACACACACACACACACGTGATATCTGCCAAGAAGTAAATTAAAACAAAATAAAGGAATGGAAGGAGGCTGCAGAAGTTCTGCTAATTATAGGATCATCAGGTAATACAGCTCCAAGTAGGTGACCTTTGAGCAGCACCTTAATGAAGGAAGGGGCTGGAGTTGTGCAGATTTCAGAGGAAGACCATTCCAGGTGGAAGGAACAGCAAATGCAAAGACCTAGACAAGGACATCCTGGGTGTTACCACAGAGGCCAGTGCGGCTGCACTGGAAAGAGTAAGAGAGAGGAAGACGGTGGGGATAATAGCAGAGAAGGAGACTGGAGGGTGATGGGCAGCTCATGTAGAGCTTCAGGCCAGGAGAATGAGATAGAATTTCATCTAAATGTCATGGTAAGTCACTGGAGAATTGAGAGCCAGAAAGTGAAATGATCAGTTAAACTGTAAGCAGTCATCCAGGGAGCTCAATGGAAAATAGACTGGGAATGGGGTGAAGGATGGAATCAGGAAACCTGTTGGAGGCTATCACAGCATCCAGGTAGGAAATGCTGGTGGATTATACTAGGATCACAAAGCAATCGGAGTGGTAAGAAGTGGTCTGAAACCGGTTATATTGTGGATGGAGGGCTGAAATACTTGGCCAGAGGGATAAGAAGAAGATTGAGAGAGATAGGAAAAGTCAAGGGTGACTCCAAGGATTAAATATAAGCAAAGGAAAGAAATAGAAAGAGATGGTTTCATTATCTTAAAAGGTGGAAAACTGGCACCATGTTGTCTCCATGACTGTTTTGTTTTCCTCAATCAGCTTTACAATGTTTTTTGGCTGATAATGAATTTCCTCCCTGGACCCCACCAAAGGCTCTTTCGTAACTGGGAGAAACTGAAAATGTTCATTGTCAGAGTGATTGAAAACCACAAGAGAGACTGGAATCCTGCCGAAGCAAGAGACTTCATTGATGCTTACCTCCAGGAAATAGAGAAGGTGAGGAATCCAGAGTTATTTCCTGAGTTTTATTCTTAAAGAGCAGTTGAGGGGATTCGAGTGTCTAATTGCTGCTGTAACAAATTACCACAAACATGGGGGCTTAAAACAACACAAATTTATTCTCTTTTGGTTCCAGAGGTCAGAAGTCTGAAAGCAGTTTTACTGGGCAGAAGTCAATGTGTTGCAGGGCTGGCTTCTTCCGGAAGTTATAGAGGAGAATTCATTTTCTTGACTTTTCCAGCTCCTAAAGCTGCCTGTACTCCTTGACTCACAGCTCTTTCCTCCATCTTCAGAGTCATCAGTGTCACGCTTTGTCTGCCACCATTACATCTTCTCTTTTTGACGTTCTCGCCTCTCTCTTATAAAGACTCTTGTGAATATATTGGGCCTCCTGGGATGATCCAGAATAATCTTCTCATATCAAGATCTTTAATTTAAAGGACATTCAAAGTCCTTTCAGCCATATAACCTACCATCCTGGGTTCCAGAAATCAGAATGTGGTCATCTCTGTGGGTCAATATTCTGCCTAGCACAGAGGAGTAGAAATAGAGGCACTATTTCATAGAGTAGTGGAATGCCATTAACTCAGAACTGATGAGACATTTAGAAATAAAGATACAATTCAGGTTAGTTAGATTCTGTTTGTTTATTTTTGCTTTTATTTCTACTGCATTAGTAGACTGCCCTATGAGAGCATTGCTATGATTTACATCAGAAAATGTTTTGCCTATGTTCTCTTCAAGGTGTCTTATCTTATGTTTGAGACTTTAAGCCATTTTGAGTTTATTTTTTATGGTGTGGGAGAGTGTTCTAATTTTACTTTTTTACATGTGGCTGTCCAGCTTTTCCAACCCCACTTATTGAAAAGACTGTCTTTTCTCCATTGAATGTTCCTACCACCTTTGTTGAAGATTAATGGACAATAGCTGTGTTGCTTTATTTCTGGGCTCTCTATTCTTTTCTGTTGATCTATATGTCTGTTTTTGTACCAATACCCTGATGTCTTTATTACTGTAGTTCTGTAGTATTGTCTGAAGTCTAGGAGGGTAATTTCTCCAGCTTTGTTCTTTTTCTTCAATATTGCTTTGGCAATTCTGGGTCTTTTGTGATTCTGTGTGTTAGTATTAACTGGTTAAGTATTAACTGGGACCAACTTAAACTTACAAGCTTTTGCACAGTAAGGGGCACTGTAAAAAAATGAAAAGACAACCTAAGGAATCAGAGAAAATATTTGCCAATGATGTGACTGACTAGGGTTTAATTTCCAGAATATAGAAACAGCTCATATAACCCCATAACAAAAAAACAAATAACACAAATAATGAGCCAAAGACCTAAACAAACATTTTTCCAGTGAAGACATAAAAATTACCTATAGGCATATGAAAAAATGCTCAATGTCACTAATTATTAGAGATATGCAAATCAAAACTACAATGAGGTATCACTTCACACTGGTCAGAATGGCCATCAACAAACAGTCCACAAACCATAAATGCTGCAGAGGGGATGGAGAAAAGGCAACCATCCTACACTGTTGGTGGGAGTGTAGTTTGGTACATCCATTATGGAGACTAGTATGGTGATTCCTTAAAAAACTAAAAATAGACCTAACATTTGATTCAGCAATCCCACTCCTGGGCATATATCTGAAGGAAACTAATTTGAAAAGATACATGCACCCTAATGTTCATAGCAACACTATTTATAATAGCCAACATATGAAAGCAACATGTCCATCAACAGATGACTGGATAAAGTAGTTGTGGTGTATATATTATATATATATATGGTGTGTATGTATGTGTGTGTGTGTGTGTATATATATATATATATATATATATATATATATATATATATATAGTATATGTACATATACATATACACAATGGAATACTACTCAACTGTAAAAAAGAATAAAATAATGTCATTCCAAAGCAACGTAGATGTACCTGGAGATCATCACACTAAGTGAAATAAGCCAGAAGGAGAAAGAAAAATACCGTATGATATTACTTATATGTGGAATCTTAGAAATAAAAAAGACACAAATGAACTTATTTATGACACAGAGACAAACTCACAGACCTAGAAAAGAAAACTTATGACCACCAGGGGGGAAATAAGGTGGGGATGGATAAATTGGGAGTTTGAGATTTGTAATACTAAGTATAAAACAGATAAACAGCATGCCCTACTGTATAGCATGTGGCACTATGTTTGATGTCATGTAATAGCCTATAATGAACAGGACTCAAAAAGGTATATATATATCACTATACTGTATACCAGAAATTAACACAACATTGTAAACTGACTATACTTCAATACGAAAAGAAATGCATTTGCAAAATGTTAATTAATTAATTAATTAATTAATTTTTATTGATTTATAATAATTTTACAATGTTGTGTCAAATTCCAGTGTACAGCACAATTTTTCAGTCATACATAAACATATATATATATTCATTGAGACATTTTTTTCTCTGTGAGCTACCATAAGATCTTGTGTATATTTCCCTGTGCTTTACAGTATAATCTTGTTTATCTATTCTACAGTTTTGAAATCCCGTCTATCCCTTCCCACTCTCCACCCCCTTGGCAACCATAAGTTTGCATTCTATGTCTATGAGTCTATTTCTGTTTTGTATTTATGCTTTGTTTTTGTTGTTTTTGTTTTTTAGATTTCACATATGAGCGATCTCATATGGTATTTTTCTTTCTTTTTCTGGCTTACTTCACTTAGAATGACATTCTCCAGGAGCATCCATGTTGCTGCAAATGGCGTTATATTGTCGGTTTTTATGGCTGAGTTCCATTGTATAAATATACCACATCTTCTTTATCCAGTCATCCGTTAATGGACATTTAGGCTGTTTCCATGTCTTGGCTATTATAAATAGTGCTGCTATGAACATTGACCAGTGGAACAGAATAGAGAGCCCAGAAATGAACCCACAAACTTTTGGTCAACTCATCTTCGACACAGGAGGCAAGAATATACAATGAAATAAAGACAGTCTCTTCAGCAAATGGTATTGGGAAAACAGGACAGCAGCATGTAAAGCAATGAGGCTAGAACACTCCCTTACACCATACACAAAAATCTACTCAAAATGGATCAAAGACTTAAACATAAGACAAGATACAATAAACCTCCTAGAGGAAAATATAGGCAAGACATTATCTGACATACATCTCAAAAATGTCCTTCTAGAAAAATCTACTCAAGTAATAGAAATAAAAGCAAGAATAAACAAATGGGACCTAATGAAACTTACAAGCTTCTGCTCAGCAAAGGAAACCATAAGTAAAACAAAACGACAACCTACAGAACGGGAAAAAATTATTGCATATGAAACCAACAAAGGCTTGATCTCCAGAATATGTAAGCAGCTCATACAACTTAATAAGAAACAACCAAACAACCCAATCCAAAAATGGGCAAAAGACCTAAACAAGCAATTCTCCAAGGAAGACATACAAATGATCAATAGGCACATGAAAAAATGCTCAATATCACTAATTATCAGAGAAATGCAAATCAAAACTACAATGAGGTATCACCTCACACCAGTCAGAATGGCCATCATTCAAAAATCCACAAATGACAAATGCTGGAGAGT